TTGTTCCACACAGTACACAGGCGTGCAAGGTTTAGTTAGTTCAGGTTCATTTATAATTTAAACTGTTATACTTCACACGTGGATTGGGGAAAAAATCAATTATTGGCCTTTACCTGCAGCAATGAGGACAATGTTGTGAAAGAATGTGCACGCGGGGCATTAGTCAGAGCCATCAACTTTACCCTAGTCACCAGCGGAATATAAGGTCGACATGCCTTTTCGGATCTTTAAGGCACACGTCTTTTCAGATTACAAAGGGACATGTCTTTTATAGCATTAATTCATCAAAATTGAAACTGCTTCCTTCTACCAGTTCAAGTGATTCTACTTGCATGCAGACTTGTACAAAGGTTACCTACCTATTTAACTCTGTTTCGCGACTACATACATACATACATACATACATACATACATACATACATACATACATACATACATACATACATACATACATACATACATACATACATACATACATACATACATACATACATACATACATACATACATACATAGTTACGGCATTTCAGTATATAAAATTGATATATAATAAAACTGATATATAATAAAACAAGATAATGACTGTAACGACAGCCATGTTAAAATTACCAAACAGTCTTGTATATAATCGAATAGTATAATCACCTCGTTTCGGTCAGAAATTCTGAAAATGCACTCAATTCGGAAAGTTCAAATGATATTTTTCGAAATCGTTGATTATGTCGATGCTTGGAAGTTCTTCACATTTAAGGATTTCTGGTGATCCGAAAACTGTCTAATGCTCTTTGAAAATTGGGGCTATTTATTATCCATAATGGCAAGCTCCATTCCGCATTATATATCGGTTTACTCAATCAACTGTAATCATGTCCCGGTCCTAGTAGTTCAGTTTGATCACTGTCATAACATTCTTGCAATTACGAGACGACTTTCCCATTCAAGGGCACGCGTATCGTTCCTTCAATCGATAGCGATTTCCTTTAATCAAGTTTACTGAAAGAGTAGCTTCCAAAAAGCAATTATAAACGTGATCTATTAGGAACATGCTATTGTTTTTGCATTCTTATGGCCTGGAGACAATTTGAATCTCTCGGGAAATGTAATTCATGCAATGTATCCAGTCACCACTTTGGTTTACTCCTCTGAAGGCAACTTACAGCGTTTTCTCGCGCTCAAGTTGTAATTGATCTGACAATTGTTATCTTAGTAAGGGTGTGATGCAGTCATTTTTCTCGCAAGAGTATCAATCACGCAATTGAAAGGAATGCAATTTAATGGCTGATTTTAATCAACAGATATTAAAAACTTTCATGACATGACTCAAATTATGGGCCTGAACGCAACACGTACTTATCACGTATGAGTATCTATCTATCTATCTATCTATCTATCTATCTATCTATCTATCTATCTATCTATCTATCTATCTATCTATCTATCTACCTACCTACCTACCTACCTACCTACCTACCTATCTATCTACCTACCTACCTACCTACCTACCTACCTATCTATCTATCTATCTACCTACCTACCTACCTACCTACCTATCTATCTATCTATCTATCTACCTACCTACCTACCTACCTACCTATCTACCTACCTACCTACCTACCTACCTATCTATCTATCTATCTATCTATCTATCTATCTATCTATCTATCTATCTACCTACCTACCTACCTACCTACCTATCTATCTATCTATCTATCTATCTATCTATCTATCTATCTATCTATCTATCTATCTATCTATCTATCTATCTATCTATCTATCCATTTATCTATTTATTTATCTATCTATCTATCTATCTATCTATCTATCTATCTATCTATCTATCTATCTATCTATCTATCTATCTATCTATCTATCTATCTATCTATCTATCTATCTATCTATCTCACAGCTACTGGGCCTCAGTTTTTGCTAACTTTCCTCGGTGAACCTCTCTTTTCTGAGGACGTATACTTAAATCTCGACAAAAAATTCCTGGAATTTTAATTTGTCATCGATGTTTTTGAATTGCCTGGTAACTCAGTATTATAATTTGTACTACAAACGTACATTGGATGTTAATGAAGATTTTCATCCAGATTGCATGACGTAATATTTTTCTGACCTTCCGATGGGCATTTGTTTTATCTGTTTCATTAATAATTTCGTTGTTTTGATCTTATCCTTTTCATACTCCCTTTCTAAAACTCGACTTTATTTAGCCTTTCTGAATTGTTTATTTTTCTAGTTGTTTTCTCTAATATCTCGCTGCAGAACCCGAAATCTTGTCGCCTGTCCAGCATGACATCGCCTTCATTGTTTTCTTTATCATTTAAAAATTGTTATAGCCGAAATAGATTTTACTTGAATACACAATTCGCTTGTTCAGTATTTCGAAAGTGATTCCTATTCATGTTTATTTCCTGTTTGTATTGATTGTTTGTAACATCGTTGATTGTCATCTGGAATGTCATACAATTCTTGCTTTACCCCTTTTTGGTCATGAAGTCTTGAACTCATTTTCCTCTTCAACACTCCCACTGTTTTTGTATACACCAGTTTTCAAGCTTTCTCGTCTGTTTACTCCAGTTTGCTTTTACAACATATGCTCTCAAGATGATATACCAGTAGCAGGTGAAGACTAGGTGTCTGGCTTAGGGATCATATTTCCCTGTCCAGAAGGACTCCATCCTCTCCAAACAAGAACAAAAACATTTTTCAGACCACCTCTGACCACACAAATCAGCATGGCGGCAAATCCGACTTTATTTCTAAAGCTTAGATAAATTTTATTTCGCACTTTGAGATTATTTCTACAGTTTAGACAAAAGTTCCTACCATATGATCAACATACCTTTTTGATACTTATTTTCATACTCTTATTGATAGAATATTGTACTTAACATGCTGTCAATAACACGAAACTCGAGTATTAAATCGTCTATATTATATTTTACACCTCGCAAATAAGATCGTGTCTGATGAAGTTATATTTTATATGTGATGCTTGCTGTTTTACAAGCATTTTTCTTTAGACTGATGTCATTGTTCAATTTGTTTACATGCTGTTGCAAGCGAAACACCAGCATCGGATATTATTAACAAAAACGGGTTTAATGATGTTCCACTCGAAATTATACCAGAGCTAGTCATTATTAGTGGTAAATATGATATTACCCGAAGTATATTGCTATAGTATTTGTAACATTGTTTTACACAATAAAGGCTTATATGATAAAACCTGTAATACGGCAATAGTGCGTTCACATCTTGTTTGGGAATTTCCTCTGAAATATGACTGAAATCGATGATCTGTTTTTCCATGATACAATAGTTTTATTTACAATTTTTATACATGGATAAACGTTCTAGTACAAAAAATTCAATCAAGAAAAGCATGGAACACGACATTGAAAGAATCAGCTATAAAATCTCTATTCTGTCATTAACATCGGTCAATATCTCATATTTCTATATCCAATTGTAGGAATCAAACATGTTTTCTACTTCACGTTAATACTAATCTGTTTTATTTACCAAATTACCGTATTTTCTTTCTCTTTCATCAATAAACCCTAAAACCAATGCTTATTTGATCCAGCGTAAAATGTTTGAGGACAAGACGTTGTCTGAAGATTGCGTATGCAACTATAAAAGATTTTAGCATTACTTTTCGGAGTCTGCCTCGTTCAATTGCGAGAAGACCAATAACAGAAATTACTTTCAACATTTTTTTACGATTGGATTTCGTGAGTATTTTCCCGATTTTATTGTAATAATTTTGTAATACTATTGTATAGAGCATTGGCGTGATAGAAATGAAATATAATCTTCCTCACCAAATATCACAGTAAATATCAATTTCTGACTTCTTCAAAAGATTTTTCTCGATCAACATCATCGATATTATCAATTTCATCGTCAAGAGTTTTGATTATTTGTAGGTATTTGTTAACAATTATCGAATCGAATTCAGTTATTTTAAGTATCATCGGTAAAATTGCGTTCTAGTACATCTTAATAATTTACGTTAGATCCACTGTTATACTGGCGATTTTAACTAGGGTTTCCTTGTCGTGATAGTACATACCGAGATGCTTAAAAATTTCTCGTTTTGAAAAACTATTGTGTAACTCCTTGTTTCTTTTAAATTTGTTATTTTATTCTCCTAGTTTGTCAAGACGACTACGATTATCGTTTATTTGTTTTCTTCCTGCGCTCTGCCACCATAAGCTCGTGCTTTTAATAGATTTGATTAAATTTATTGTATCAATAATTTTCCTTGCTGAGCTCGAGTTATATTTTAACAAGCATTCAAATTGTTTTTGTTCTTCTAAACAATCATCAGGATGACATTATCTGTTTATTATATCAAGGTTTCTTATTGACTGATTTTAGTTGTGGTCCACGCATATACCTTCTGGTATTTGAATATTTAAACTTAGATGCTAATATTTTTCATATATGGATTATATTTCTCTCCCATCGCGTGCAACTATTTCACTAACATATTTGTCGAGTTTAAAAATATTATCATAAAATTATCTTCCAACAATTATAAATTGCTGGTTAAAACATTATTTGACAGAATTAGATTAAACCTGATCATCGAGTGTGTATATTTAAAATGCTATCAATCCTGTAAACGGGCTTACAGCTTCGACAACTTAAATTCGAAAATAAAAGTAATTGTTAACAGCATTTTCTGTTGGGGTTGTAAAATATTGATTTTTTTAAATATATATCTGTAGACTATACAGTATTGTCCAGTTAATATCATTGTTTGATTCTTCAAATCACCAATCATGAATTATCCCAATATCAGGGTCACACAAATAAAATTGCCAAACAACGACTGCAACGGGACATTTAATTTTAATCCAAAAGTATTTGGTTTCCCTGTTAGTTGCCATTCGTGTCCATAATCAGCAGCGAAAGCGTGATGAGGATAATTTTCAGGATAATATGATGATGCGCTTACGTAAACCCAGCTCATTAACCGTTCAGGTGGCCTAGTAGTTAGAGCGTCCGCCTCAGATGCTTAAGGTCGCGGGATTGAACCCCGGCAGAGTCATACCAAAAATAGTTCTAATAATGGTGCTCAGCATTAATATGTTAGTGTCAGGATAATGTGAATGGGTGGGACATCATGCCACATGTATGTGGCATGATGCCCCAGTGCTAGGCATTACTGTAAACTGTCATACATCGTAGCGATACGACTGATATCAACATTTGCTGGTTGATATGTGGTTTCCAACCCAATATTATTTTTTACTTGACATATCTTACCTGTAGCCGTTCCACCGGTTTTATCAAGCTTGTTGCCATCCACGTACCTCAACTGTACCTCTTGCCCTTTTGTTTACTTTTGGAAGGTGAGATAGTTCAACAGGAGGTATCCACGTAAAGTATCACATACTTACAATCCTAAGGTGACCACACAAAGTTGGATAATGATTGCAAAAATCATACAACCCACACAACAAAGCTGGAGAGTTTGCAACACTGGTTAAAACTAATTTATTGCGTACATTCATGTTTTGGTTGAATAACATTCTCTTATTTGTAGCAAATATATGTCTCCATTCATTTCTAAACAAAGGTGAATTTTTTTTCCTGTTAGGTAACATTTAAACCTCGGTTGTCATAGCGAGGGGTCGATGTTATAGGTCACCAAGCAGATAACAGATAACCTTAGTCTTATGACAGATAACAGATAACAGATAACCTTAGTCTTATTAATAATCACCCCACGTGTGATCAATTGGCTATATTATGAACGACGTAACTTTTGTGTTTTTCTGATTCCCCTTGGGCAATCATTTCCAAAAATGGCGGCAGAAATGTTGATAAGAGGGTTTGATTTTTTTCAGATCTTGCACTATGTTGATTGTACTCAACCACACTGTTTACCTCTGATCCTGCGATCGATCGATTTTATCCATCACCACGCTGTACCTCTGATTTGCTCTATGATATGCTGATCAGGCTGTTGTCGTTTTGGGTGAAACCAGAATAGCCTTCCATTAACAGCATACATGCAACATTTGCTATTATCAAGCTTTAAGGAAGCGAGTCATTAGGCGTATGCCATAATTTGAACTACAACGAAATCAATCTCTGCTTCAACTTTCATAGAGTTTGCATACCATACGTCAAAGTCTGAATTGTGAATTAATAATTTGATACTCCGCTAAATTTCCAAAGAGCACACATAATAGTCTAATTACGATAACAGTGATAAAAATAGTGATTATGTAATTACTGAGAGTGAAACAGAAGTGATATTAATAGAGTTGCAATTGCTTTGATAAAAGCATACGTACATAATATTATGATGTTCTATATAATTAATGAATGTATAACAACTTAAGTTGATTTACATTCTCATTGATTCTATATTCATGTAATCTATATACCATCTGCTTTTAATAACACTTCAGAAAGGGCTGAAAGATAATTAATGCTTCTGACTGAAAACGATTCAGGCATTAGTTTCAAGGAATTGGCTGTTTATGACTGTTCCAATTTGGAGGAGCTCTGGTCGCTATCTGTACATTTCTTTTAAAGACTATCAGATGTATACAAACTTTACAGTACAGATCGGTTTGACTGTAAAAGCTTACAGTATGAAAACTGTTATGCAGAAATTGCTTGATTAGCAGCCTCAATGCTAAATTAAGTTGACTGACAATCTGATCAACAATCCTGACGTTTTTCTCTTGCAACGTGTAACAAAATTAAAACCAGACTCTGCTCTACAAGCTTTGCAATCTAAATATGACTTTAATTTAACTTGGCACAACCAGAGTTGGTAGTTTTATGATATAGACCTAACTCAAGGATAAAAAATTACACGCTGGATCCAAGGTTCTGGTACTTGAGAGGAAGAAGTCTTCGTAGACGTCTGCACTAATTGCACACAGACAGAAACCAGTGCTCTAAGTATCTTTAGGATGTCATTGTTGATGATCATAATGATAATTCATGTTCTTAATTACTGAGAGGTGATAATGGTCAGTAAAACACACAGTTTAGTTGAATTGCCTCTAAAAGCCTCGGCCTCGCGGCCGTCATTGGTCAACATTTGCTTTCTTAGAGATTACTCTGCGTTTGCTTAATCAGTTTAAGCCTTATATTTAAGGCCTTTCATGGTGGACAATATGATGCCAAGACAAAGATAAAATAAGAAAGACTTTATTACACTCAGGTTGCGACGTTTACAACGTGTGCGATATATAAGTTTAAGAACATGAATATAGTGTGTGATGCTATTACACAATGCTTAACAGGGATTACCAGATTTCGGAAAACACAATAAAAACCTGCAAATAGTTTAAGAGTCGTATATTACCGGAATTCATTGATTGATTATATTTATAAAACATTATTCCAGTGAGTGTAACATTGTTGTACATTTATCTTTTTTTCTGTCTTTTATCATGGAAATGTTAAAATGACAGAAAATACTAATATCCATCCCATATTTCTTGAGACAGAGATTGTGGATTTGCATTCAGTGTATTGTCTGGAAGCCCATCTACCAGTTTCAACGTGAATCGTTGTAGGGTCTGTAAGCCCATCTACCAGTTTCAACGTAAATCGTTATAGGGTCTGCAAGCCCATCTACCAGTTTCAACATGAATCGTTGTAGGGTCTGCAAGCCCATTTACAGTTTCAACGTGAAACCTATCATTTGCAGATCTAAATTTAACTACGTTTTTAGATATATTTTAGCAATGAGAAAGTGATTTTTTCTAAACCAAAATAATTTTAAATAACCTGTAATTAAGATCTGTATATTCATGTTAGCTGCCCAAACCTGTATGAATCGATTTTTTTAGACGTTCTTCCACCAAATGTGTTAATTATTTAATTGACACAATAGTTTATCATGCGACTTTTAATGTTGATAATTAAGGGAAAATTTAATTAAGGGAAAACTTTTCAGTACACCATGTATAAATGGGTACAGTTTTTAACATTCAATATACTTCATAGGAAAGAAATATGTTTCGGGACTGTATGAACTCCTCGAGACTATATCAAATCTTTAATCTCACAAGTGTATGTTAAACTCGGTACAATGGTTTGATCGAACAGTTTCAGTTGACAATTAATAGTCAAATCCAAATTGTAAATCCGCTTTTAAAGAAAATACGTTCATTAGCTGTGAATACTAGAATGCTCAGGCCATTGGAGAACTTTTTATTCTTGTGAAATATTAGGCCTATGGACATATATTTTTCTACAATATTAACATTTGCATTGCTTATCTTAAATTTGTTTAACCAAATACGATAATTTATGCTTTAGATATATTGATTTTAAGTTTCAGCTGTGTATTTAACATACCAAGAGTATATCTACAGTACTTATGAATCATGAGCGTATAAAAAACAACTTAACATTTAACATGTTTACTATGGTGATATTTTCGGATGGTACAGTGCATCCTCTACACCCATTTACTTGTAAAAAGAGATTCTAGGTCATTTAGGAATAAGAATAAATACACAGGAGTTAAGTTACCTCCTTGTCTTTCCGCGTTTACATAGACACCTGATCTGATATCATTATAAATGCTTAATATAACATTCAAACATTTTCCTTTGATTCTTACCGAGTACAATTTATGCAATAATCCAACTCTCCATACATTATCAAAGGCACTTCTGAAATCAACAAACGTGCGGAAAAGTTTCTTTTTTGCATTGTCTTATAAATTCATTCAGGCTATACATTATGGAATAACCATTCCTCAGTCAAGCTTGATCTTAAATAATAATAATATAGTGTCGTCAAGGAATTTAGATAATGTTATGTGTAGTATTGCGGTAAAAACTTTACCAAAATAGGTTATTAAAATAATATGTCTATAATTTGACATATCGGTTATTTTGCCTTTATTTTCATAAACTGGCACAATAAAATTACAAGTACAACTGTCTGGTTTGTAGCCAGTATTTCAGATTTTATTAAAGGTTTACATACACATTTTAACACTTCAGCAATTGCAATTTTATATATTAATTTAATATTTTATCAATTGAACCTGCTATTTTTTATTAATGAATTTTTTAAATAAATATTTCTTCACCTATAAAATAGGGTCATTCAACAATGATAACATCCGCCGCTTGCACCAATTTCTGAGATTATTCGTTCGTCACTATTTGTGTTCATTCAGGTTTTTTCTTTAAAATATTCAAAAACTTCTTGTATTACAATAGTTTAATCCAAAATATTATTGCCAAAATTATTTAAAAATTTCAGTATCATAAAGGGCAGCAGATACACAACTTAAATACTTGAAAGGACTTCTTCAAGAACAACTTAAATACTTGAAAGGACTTCTTCAAGAACAACTTAAATACTTGAAAGGACTTCTTCAAGAACAACTTAAATACTTGAAAGGACTTCTTCAAGAACAACTTAAATACTTGAAAGGACTTCTTCAAGAACAGCACACATTGACTAAATATACTGGAAAGTATACAAGTATCAGGAGCAATCTGTTATAGATGAATAACACTAATCTGTTGGGGACATGACAATCCCTCTTGAAACAAATAAATTATATTAAAAAGAACAAAATGGACAGATATCATTATATAATAAAGTCATTCAACATGCGATGGACATACACCATCCACTATTGTCACAATTACTAAAGCGAAGATTTCTTCCATATTAACAGAATACGTTACGGCATTAAATAATTTCTTTTTCTTTTTACTTTGTGCAAATAAAACCAATCTTCAATTAGTTGTAACTAATATAAATAGAAATGTAAAATAAGCTTCACACTCTCTTTTACCCCGTCTCAACCCTAACCCCACCCAACTGAAAAATTTATAGAGATAAGCTTAGTTGATGCGAAACAAAAAGGAAGCTATCTAAACACTCTTGCAGTATGTTTTATAATTGCCTTTCAGTGTTAGATCAAGCTAGTAAGCAAGAAGTGACATACTGGAACACTGGGCCGAGGTCGACTAGGTGAGCAATGTCGAGTCAACTGAAACATTTAAGCTCGACTAGGTGGGTTAGAAACTCCATTATCTGCGCGTA